TTACAATGCTAAGAAACTGGTGAGAAATTCTTACGACCTCTAATTAAATGATATTTCTAATAATGCATATTGACTTGAGCATCTGTAGCGCGAAGCATTAGCTTTGATACTGGAAATGGGGGGCCCAGAAAAAAGGGGGGGATTGGGAGCTTAACAGCCTGGTACCGCACAGCTTGGATTACGGTACTTTTCAAACGCAGCGCTGAAAAGTATGTCGCATTAATTAAAGCCTCGAGCAGAGTGGGAGCGCGCGAAGCCAGGCCTCCGAGCTTAATTCCATGTGTGAGTCTCAGTCCGCCTCCTAGCTGTTTTTCCGCACGTCCCTTTCACGCGCGCTCGACTCCTCGGAGCTCTTCTTTCTTTTTTCTCTCTATGTCTTTTTTTGTGCGCTCGCGAGGATTATATTTTCACGCGGCAAAATAAACTCGCGACGTGATATGTGGGTGAGCGAAAGGGTAGGGGAGTAGACAATAATGCTCGGCTTCCGCTCTACCGTAATACCCCGGGTCGTATAATTCGAGCGCCATTGTGCGGCGAGTCCGTGCGTTGGTTTTTTTCCAGCAATAGTTTTACGCGGTCGGATGAGAGCGGGGCTTATTGTCCGGTTCATTGATGTGTTCTTTATTGTTGCGCGTATTTTCAGCGACGTGAAATCTGCTTGCCTGCGCGAGCGCACATCGCTCGATATTATCGACATTACTTGTAGCTACAGGCTGGCTGCAGTCGATGCATCTTTATTTCGGCTTTATTTGGGCGAGTAAATATTTCATTACTCTGAATATTGCGGAACTACTGCAAATGACGCCTGTGGTCGTTTGAATAAGCAATCCGCGCATCGATCACAGTTCAATTACTATACGTATAGCGCGCGCCGTGACAAACGACAATGAAGAAGGAAAGGAAAGATTAGCACAGTCATGATTCATTAGAGGCGCTATAAGTTATGCGGATCGCGAGAAAGTTGCGCCAACTTATCCGGCCGCGACGTTAGGCAGCCGGACCTCGCGCGCCAGAGATAAAACTGCAGAAGCTCTAGCAGGCGAGATGGGGAATCCAACTTTGATGGAGTCTTTCGGGCTTAATGAAGGAAATTCGCGGAGAATGGCGAAGGAGGGAGCCTCGAGTCCGACCGAAGGGAAATCGGTCGACTAGCCTGCGGCAATATCCGGCCTCCAATTGAAACGTTATTGCGTTACCGGCCCGCCCGGCTCGCATTCCCTCTACAGCTCCTTTCAAAAATTGGCATTAGTACCTTGCTCTAATAACGTGGCACGGTAACTTTCGCTAAACCATCATATTTTTGGCCTTTCGTTCGACAGTTATCTCTTCTGGGCTGCTCCGCTCGATTCGGCCGCGATCGATCGCGATTCGCTTCGCCGTGTATACCACTCGGAAAACCTATTTCTCCTACATCAAATATTCGCTTTGGTTACGATAACATTCGACTGATTATTGTCTCAGAGATCGGAATGTTACGAACAACGTACCTAATGTACGATGCGAATTCAAGCTACTCAATTATTCAGTGACATGAATATTGATCAAGTAGCGCTCGCTGACAAACAAAATATCAGCTCTTGAATCTTGGCAACATGACAAGCGATAACTTAATGTGCTTACAAAGCACATTACTGAAATACGATCAATTTAAAAGACACTCTTTTTGTACATCTGACCAATCTTATAAATGAACAGTGGAAGAAGTGAAAACACAATGAAAAGGCATTGAAATTAACGAAGCTGCACATTGAAATCCTCGTTAAAAAGGGGGCACAGGTATCGAAATAAGCGCGTTCCGGCGGAAGCTCTGACAATGGAAGCGAGGGGCTTGGTGAAATAAAAAATATTGTCAACGTCAGCATCTGCCGCTATCTTCCCAAATAAAGATTGTCCGTCGAAAGGACCCTGGGGCTTGCCACGCCGCGCCGGTTACTCTGGATCCGATCCAAGCGCGCCTTCTTTCTTGTTCTTCAGCGCTTTTTGCCCCCTTTCTCGCCCTCACTTGCAAAATAACGTAGCCCGTTAACAACGCCGCGTGCCGTTTATCAAGATTTAGAGCAAGTGCTCCCTTCGAATGCATAACGCGCGCAGGCGCAAGAGCCTGCACGCGAGCAAAAGAACAAAAGCCCGTCTCCGAGAATTAACTAGGCCCGCTCGCCTTGCGACTTTTGTTTTTGCCTCACTCGCGTGCGAGCGTGGCTCGCGCGTGCCCAATTAAGGTCCATTAACTTGCGCGAGTTTACGCACTAACTCCGTTTCTCATTGTTTCGCTGGCAGTTTATTCCGCAAGCTGGTTGCATATCGAGGCACACGCGTGTTCCAGCACCGCGTTATTTACATTTGAGAAGTCCCTCTAATGAAAATGCATGAGCGAATTTTATTGACAACTGTTTTTCCAGTGCGATGAGCCACGCAGTGAATATTAAGAATAATCCTCTCGGAAAATATTTTTCCACCATTGAAAACACACGGCATTGAGATGCAAGAACGCAACTCAGGCACAAACAGCACCCAGCCCGGTCTGCTTGCTTGGTTATTTCGCAAACACCGCTCCATTTACGATGTTGTTTTCGGCTTTTGGAAAACTCGCAACAATGAAGTCGTGCGATCGTGCTCATACATGTATGAACGACGTGCCGCAGCGTAATTGAGTTTGAAAATCAGGCTTCAACATTAAACAGTCAAATTAGGAAAATACGCTGATTGAGCTTTTTAGATGAAAATTTATTTGGCTTGGCGAGTGGCTATCAAACGAGGAAATTCCTGACACACGAAAATAAAAATACATGTCCTCCTTACGGAATTAGCTATATTTTTCAGCGTTAAATTGAGATATATAGATTTTTTATAAATAGTCTTTCTCTTTCTCCTCAAATATTTCGTTAAAATTAATTGAAAAATGAAGAAAAGTGACACATCACAAACATTTTGAAATTTGTTTTTTCGTTGTTTATCGTCGTTGTTTGCTCAACGCTCGCCATCATATCGCCAGTGAAAATGGCAAAATGGAAAAAGCAAAAAAGAAAAAGGAGAAAGCCGGAGGGCTCGCGTACACTCGTGAAAACGTCGACAACGGAATGGCGCTAGCAGCAGCAGCAGCAGCAGCAGCAGTTGGGCGGCGAACAATGTGTACGCGGCTGCGAGTACGTATAGGAATATACACGGGTGGCTCTCTCTCGCCGGGGCAAAGTGGAGGGGAAGACAGCGCCAACTCACAATGCCTCGTCCATCTCTGTGATATTATTTTTACAGCTGCATCGCAACGCGCCAACCGCAACTCATCATCTCTATCTGTCCGTCCCTTTTGCTCGTTACCGACGCGGGCTCAAATTTATGCAACAAGGCCGTTACCCCGATTCTCGTATAGGCTTGCATCCCCAATGAAACCCAGCTAAACGAGCACTTTTTTATTCGGCTTACTGCATACGACTATCGACTCGTTCCCTTTTCTTGTTTGTCAAAGACTTGCATCCCTACGTATTTTCAATAAAACAAGTGCGTCAAGTTTCTTTCTAAATTTTTATTATCAAAGCAATAAATCTCACACAAATGTATATACACATTGACATTGAACATGTTAGATAGTTATTGTTATTTTTATTTACTCGTATTCATGCAATATTTTATACTACTAATAATTATAATATTTCTAATTTCAAACGCAAGTCCGAAGTGGATTTTGCGATGAGATTATGAAGTTAGCAATAGTTTTTTATAGTTTTATATTTTAGTAAATAACAATTTCAATTTATTAACCAGATTGCTGACATAATGAAACTTAGTGAAACAACTAGAATACAAGGTTTCATTATATGCTTCATAACTACAATTTTACTATCGATACTCAACTCATTTGCACTGTTTCTTAATATAGAGGATTGACATATTATCGAGTACTTTATATACTTGAAAATCTTGTTTCAATAGCTAGGCAATCATTATGAATTGTAAAATAATTGAGTTAATATATATATATTGGTAGATATCATTTTTATTATTGTAGTACACGTTGTTTAATGGGCCCTATAAGTCAGATGAAGAAAATCTTTGCACCAACAAGTTATCGTAACTATAATGAATTTTGTTGCATTTGGGCTTAGGCTGTGGGCAGCTTTGAAGGCATGTACTAGTTGATCTATCTGCCTATATTCAAATTGTCGTTGATAAAAAATATTATATTTTCTTTCAGCTTCGCAACACTGACCTTGTATCAATATTTATTATAATTCAATAATTGGCCATGTTGTGGTACTCATTATTATGTATCCCTTATGCTTTAGATGCCATGAAGAAATCCGTTGAAGCATGTATTACATAATTTTGGATGTTATTTTAAAACAATTATTGAACAACTATTTTTTACAAACTTTTCCTACAAACATTTGATTTAGATACCAAGTGCCTATTTCACGAGATTACTAAACATATTTTCGTAGCTATTGTTAAATAGAAATACTTATTCACCGATGTTACACTTCATAAGATAATATTTAGGTCAGTTATCGTGTCTCGTATCGCGCATTGCTTTTACGCAAACATGATATCCATGCTCATTCACCTATTTTTAGCGAGTTCAGCATAACATGCATCTGACATTTACCAGAATAGTACTTTAATTCATTTGGAGTCTTTTGACCCGAGCACTCGCTGTTGTACTATTTACCGTGAAAAAAGTGAAGAGCTGTAGTTCTATTTCGGTACGAATAATTAGTTCAGGCCAACCGACACGTAGTAGAGTCAGTTAACACAATTTTGCAACTCCCAATATTTGCTTTTCCCAACGAGCAGGATGTGTTTACTTTTAATATTGTGTCGCTCCACGTAAAATATTTCGTTCCAACGGCCATTTCAATTATTTATAACTGCCTCGGCGTCTCCTTGGCGAACAATTGATCGAACACAATGAATTTAATTGATTTTCAAATGAAACAAGAAGGCAGTCAGTTAATCGATCGCTTGGGTCGATTGACTAAAATAGTTGATTAATTGAATTCACTTACCGAGGAGTACATCTTCGTCGATGTCATCTTGCGAGAGCTGAAGCTCGAGTTCGCGGTTGTCGTCGAGATCCATGCGGGCGAATAGATGAGCTCTCTCGGCTAGCAACTCAGCGAGGAGGGCGAGATAAGGCGAGGGGGCGCCTTGGGGTCCGGCCCTGAGGTAGCCGGGCAGCCCGAGGCCGAGCAGTCCGCAGGGTACGGTAACCGCACCTACGCTCGCGAGCCCCCCGTTCACCAGCTCACCGCACAACATAGGGCCGTCTGCCCTTGCTGCTTCGCGCCTCCGCTACTACCTCCGCTTAGCCCGGCGTCCGCCAGTCTCCTTCCTTTCGCCTTCTCGTTTTTATATCCGACTGTCGCCAGCCCCTGTTTCGTCACCGCTCTTTTTTCGTCGATTACTCGCCTCGAACCTCCACTTTCGTAACGCTAGATCCTTCTCTCCACCTGAAATCAATCATACAACAGATTCTCATCAAAACGATCGGACGCAACAAAAGAAGTTCGAAACTGTCGAAACTATTTTTGTGGAACCTATGACATTCCATGATAGATGTTAAACCTTTCAGTTATTTCATAATAAATATGTAATTGTAAGTGAGTTCGAGAAGCTTGAGTTGAGATCTCGGATTGCTTGAGCTTTTGCAAAAACTCAAAACTTATCACGATTCGTATCCTCGAGTTTTGATACCAACAGATGAGGCAAATATTTAATTCCATTCGTCAGTGTGTGTTGTCAGACAAACAATTGTTTAACGAAATCAATATTTTATTCTAGCGTGTCATTGGACATAGTAACGTTTCAGGAAATATGTTTCCAATTGTAAAACAATTACGAGGGAACATTATAACAATTAACATATCTTAATCGATTTATTATCAGGAATTATGAAGTGAAAAATGAAAGAAAACAAGTATGCCTTTGTGAAAATATTCAATCTCGGAAACGGTAATTACTCTGCGATAATTATGAGAAGGGGTTTCAGTGCCAATACGACGGCAAACAGTGAACGCGTCGTTTATCATCTGGCCAAATATAATTCCCAATGCGATGAGAGAGTTCATACTGACGGCAGAGTCGATACGAATACACGCGCACGCACACAGCAGGCGTGATCCAAGCCTTGATGTCGTTAAATATTTGCCAATCGTTTCCTAACGCGCTGACTAGACTTGAAAAAGTGCACGAGACCAAGTAACAGCTGCTCGTATTGCTGATTTGTGTGCAAGCGAAAGCCTTTGATCTAGAAAAAATGGAGCGAAGCCAGCTATTCCATAAGCCTTTCAAGACTACCTCGCAGAGCTCTCGTATACGCGCGGCTTATACATGCGGCCAACATCCTCGAGGTCGAGGGAACGTCACGTTTCCGATCGAAAGCACCAGATTTTGGTGCCCTCGATCATCGGTTTGCCGATCGTCTATCGATGTCTGCGCTGATCGCAGCCCCATAACTCCGTGAAGAAAAGAAAAGAAAAATTGAAAGAAGCGTTGCCGGGGCGACGAGCCGTCATTTTGCTGCACTGCTTGCTTGCAGGGCCTCCTCGCGTTGCAGCGCACTCCATTTCACTCAATTTAACGACGCCACATTACAAGCTTGCCCAGCTGCCCTTTATACTCCTTTGGCTACTCTCTCGCGCACCCTCTTTCTTGAATCCTCTTACTATCACCGGCACGACTCTCGTACATGAAATCACTTGCTGTGCACTCGGTGAACCAACCAATAATCATTAGCAAGCGCGAGAGCTGCTACACGTACGTTCTGTGGGAATTGTGTTTTGTACCGTTAACATGATTACAGTGGAGAGCTTGATCGCACGTGCTCTGATGTCTTTCTGCAATCGAATTTAGCGCGCGTGATTTTTCGCTTTTCTAGGAAATCCGAATACTATAATCGAGCCTGTTAAGCCGAAGGCTACTCGATGCGAGAACCAGTCTCCTGTTATCGACAGCACGCGAACAATAAAGAGTGTCGTCTTTCAAACGTGTAACATGTCGGTTTCCCTGCGAAGAAGATGAGAAGATAAATAAGTAAGCTGAAGAAAATGGAATATATCGAGGAAGCAGGCGAGTTGTAGCCGGACAGTAGCATGCGCGGGCTAATGAAGAAGAACGGAGCTCGACGGGGAAGAAAAAATAGAGGCAAGAAAAGAAGAGTTATAAAGCTAGAGGAAACGAGAGTAAAGTGGCGTAGTCGCGCGCAGCAAGGCGCGCCGGTGGTCGATCCCATTTCGGCTAGCGTCGGGTGCATCGCCACTGAACTTACGGATCACAGAGCCCCAGCGACGTGATTTAGTGGCGCGCGTTTTCTTAGAAATCTCCCCCGGAGCTAGACGCGGCCGCGCGCGAGCCTCGTAAAGTCAACAAACTCGATGTAATTGTCTCCTGTCCTGCCCTCAAAGTCCTTCGACTAGATGAGATCTTACCTCTGCTCTTCTTATTCTTCCTACTGCAATCCCCAGCTCACTCTTCATAATTAAAGGGCCACCATGACAAGCGAAAACGTCTTCGGCTGATTCAATTATATAATACCCTTTCACGAATTTTTTATTCGATTTCTTCACAAACAAATGGACAACGTGCACTTTTTTCACGAAAAAAAGTTTTCATCCTAAAAATGCAATATTTTCAATTCATATTTTGCAAAACCATCACATGCGTAAACATTTGTTTAAAAAGAATGTACATATGTATAGCATTTTTATAAAAATTCCTGAAGAAAGAAGTACAATACGTTTCACGTGTTTTTCTTCAAACATTTCGAATATTTTTTTCATGAAATAACAAATTTCGAACAGTACTCACATTAGTATTTACTAGATTCAATTCCATCTATGTACGCTGACCTGTTCAACACCGATTGGTACATAAAAATTGCAACGTAAAAGTAAATGTAAGATAGTAAAGTACATTTTTCATTACAGAGCCGATTTTACGGGATTTGTAAAACAAGATATGCCATTTCATTACACCTGGGAATGGGGCTTGAAATATCGTGGTGGTTAGAAATATCAATATTTCAACTAGCTGAAGTGGCGGTGGTTAATGAACGTCCGAAAAAGCCAGGTTTAAATATATTACACCCAGTCCGAGTATAGGAGGGAGCGAGCATTCATATATATGTGAGAGGTAGATCGATCGCGTGGTGTTCACGACAAAGAGCGCACGAGAGATGCATGCTCGAGTGAGCGAACGGGAGTGAGCGAGAGAGATTGATTGATTGCATTTTGATTGTAACCTTTTTTATTTACCAACGGTAAAAATAATAACAATATATATTACACATTGTTAAATAACAAAATAGTTATCTAATATACTGGTAATTTGATCAGGGAACAATGACAGTTTGTTTAAAGAGAAAATTTCTCTCCGTTATGAAAATAAAATTTAAGAGTTCCGAGTAGTAGCTTGATTGAAATTAACTAAACGACAGAAGACAGAGGGTTCTAGAGGTGAGTTCCTGCAACTTGAAAAGATCTAGATCCAGCCATTGTGTTCATCCTAGGAATACCAAATTCAATAGTTTAGATGAGATTAAATTAAGGATTCTACCAACCTCCGGCGAAATGGTACAAGGTCTGATGAAGCGCACTCTGTAAAGAATTCAGTTGACCTTTCTTAAGGCCAGTCTCGTTTGGAGCCCAAAGTATAAGATATACCCAAACCATTAACTTCGTCACTGAAGGGAACGAACACTTCTTCCTCGTCCCTCTATACCTTGTAGGCTCATAACGTGAGTGGCATTGATATTCTTTTTGGAACCAGCGATAATAGCCTTGATTTGCGTTGCGGCGCAATTCAGAGTCTCCAGCCCAGTCGAAAAGCTACACCATCGTGGACAATCCTACTACTTATCGGGAGCTTGTCCATTTTAACGTGCAGATAAATCTGTAGGTCGTCCGTATGGAAAATGCGTTTAGGGTTTTGTTCGTTTATATATAGCACATTCCACAAGTCATTTTATATGATCACATAAAAAAGTAGGAAACTCAGAACGGAGTCCTGTTGTATTCCTAGAATTGTCTCCGACTAACCAAAATCGCATTCAATAATCTTTTGATATAATATAGTTATAGTTCATGAAAAAATAAGACACACATGTGTTTCTTTATCGGCGGAAAAACCTTTTGAGGGGAAAAACCGCCCTCAAAGTTCATCCCCAAAAATGGAATTCCTAATACATCTCAGCTTATTATTAATAATTTACGATGAAATAAATTTCATATTACTTCTCATGTAAATACAGAACTAACGAATGCAATTTCGATCATAAAAGACACAACCCTTATTTTTTTCATTTAAAATTCTACCTTTTTAAGGGCAGTTTTACCCCCCTCAGAGTGTTCTTCCGCCATTAAAAAAACATCTCTGTCTTATTTTTTCATGAATTATAACATATCAAAAGATTATTAAAATTGTTGAAGTTGGGGAGGGAGGTTTCCTTATTAGTAGAAATTTTTCGGATATGGCTCTTTTAATACAATTTGATCCACAAAAAGATTGCTCTAAAAGCCACAAAAAGAAAAGCTTACGTAGTAATTTAGAAGATGAGATAGTATCAAACGATTTGTTGAAATAAAAAAGTAGTAGTAACGTCGTCTGCTTCTTTGTGTCCAAGGTCGTATGTATGTCGTTTTGTGGCGGTTGCTCCTTGGCGCGTTGAGCCAGCGTTAGATAACGCCACACTTGGAACCGAAAGACGGCGAGCACGGAAGCAAACAATCGTGCCGCGAGAAGTCTTTTTCCACCTGGCTTCCAGTTAGGAAGCATCCAGTCGCGATCAGTTCCCGAGTGCCTTCACAAACTAGAGATCCTACCGCGAACGTCAGTCAAATGGAATTTGTACTTCACTACAGCCCTAGCGATCCGAGTAATTGTTTTAATTGTTAATAAACGTACCTCTCCTTCTGCCTCACAAATTCGTACATTTGAATTACCTTGCGCTCCGAAACGAACGAGAGCAGGCCTGGTACACATAGCGATACCCTACCTAGCTCGTCGCACTGTCAACGCCTTAAAAATTATATCTGTCAAATTGATCATCCCGTCTGCGTGCTATGATGTTTTCTAATTGTGCAGATATCAAGGAGTTTATTTTTGTTAAAATACTCCGTGATTTGGTCATGATTAAGCTTTTCAAATATATTTGATAGAAAGCAGCCTAGTGTAACCGAAACGAAAATATGGAAATCCAAATCAGAAGAAACGAAAAAATGCTGCTCTTTTAAAGAGCAATAATCTGCGTCTGTTTCCAGGCATTTGGAAAAACATCCAGAGCAAAAGAAGAATTAAATTCATTCACTAAGGAGATATTTATCAGCGGCAAAGCTTTTGCCAACAATCTCTGAGAAATTCCATTAACTCCGCATGCTTATGAAAAAACTGCACGAACATCATTAAAATCAACAGAATTTTAGAATATGATTCTTACTTATAGCAATACAAGCAT